GAAGCGGGCTTATGCAGCTGCAGTGTTCTCTCAAGACAACCACGTTCTACCCAGATGTCTTCACTGCCTATTTGCAAGCTAAGGACAAATCTGCGGATATTCAAAGCTGGATCTATAGAAAAAAATGCATATTTCAATCGGGTACTTTTTTTTCGGTGACAGTGAAATTACAACGATTCGTTTTGAAAGATGCATATTGGAAAACCCTTTTCAGATTATTTCGTAGATGTTGTGTGTATACATGCGCAGAGTTTCATCTTTATCCCTTTGTTTGCACGATACACTGCAGGGGTTTATTTTTGAGATATAATTCTCCTATTGTAATGCATGATCGATTGTAAATTGTCGCTATTATGACCCGTGGCAAACACACGTCTGGACAAACTTAACCTAATGCAGCAGATAACAAGTACATACATTTGAGTTAATCTTAAAAAAATCCTTTTTAATTTTACAAAAAATTGTGCACTTTCTGAGATAGGCAAAATCATATGCCTCCTAAAAAGGTTCGCATAAATAAGTATGATATAAAATCCATTAAATGAATTAAATATTCAAACTTCCGGCCGTTCGTGCTCCATCGAGCCCCCTCCGCCTACTTTGCCTCAATTATCATAAGTGAGCAACCTCTACCTCCAATAGCCAGATATATTGGTAATTAACAACTGTGGTACCTTAACATGTTTGCCCTTGGCAAGAATATCCCGAATGGTTGGTCTATTAGTTAAATGATGATATTTCTTGTGCTGGATTGTTGCAATAATCGGAGTGGGTTTAAAGCCAAGGAAACCGACTTATACATCTATCCCACAACTTTTACTCTACACACGCAATACCAAACAATGAACATGTCTGGTATAATAGCAACAGTAAAATGTATCCTAACCACTTCGTCCGGGTCCACTACGCCTCCGAACTTTGATGTGTCCCTCTGTAACTTTTCAGGCGTTGTGTTTTGCGCTTCAGATAATCTCGAGTTTTTGTGCCTGACTGGGTCCCCTGGGTGTTTTCATTTGGTTAAATGAAAAGGCGTCGTCGAACGTACTGATTCGTTGATCTCAACGAATCTCACCCTATAAGGATGCCAACGCTACCGCAAAAAGGAGAGGCTGTTTTGGTCGTCCTTGCCGATGCCTTCGTTTCTTCAAGATGTGGTTCGACTCATCGGAAAAACAAACCCGCTATGAAACTACTGATGGACGTAGCAATCTGAATCTTCACGTGGTGCATTTGTTGAAGGTATCTAAAAGAATCCACAACACGCTATGCAGGCGACGACAGTCAGTTCATCGAGTACTGAATTAATCAAACTACTCTAGCCATTTTGCTGTAGACCAAACGAACTATGGTATGGCGAACGAACACATATCATAATACGAGAAGTATGCTGGCTCTTTTCCGCAATGCTAAGCGTTGACATCGATTCACCTTTCGCTAAACAATGGTTTTCCGCTTACTTCAAGTCACTACAAAGAACTAGTCATACTTTGAGCTCTTTTCTGAGACCAATAGCCACCCTAGAATTTTAATATAGATAAATACAGTAAACTACTGTTAATTTTCTAAGTTCTCCTATAGAGCCCTGTCTCTACTGTACGAGGTCAATTCGGAGTCCAGTCGTAATTGGACAGTATTGTATGTCGAACGGTGTTTTCCGTAGGAAGTTTAATCCGCAGGACGCCCTCGTTTCCAAAACTCAACAGCGTTAGACGCACGATCGATTCAACCGAAGGTGAAATCAGGCCCGAGTTTGTGCAATCGTCCTTTAATTGTGATACCATTGCGCTTTGTTTTTGACTCTTTGTACCTGCTTTGAGAATGAGCCTCTACAGCTCTACAAGGCACACCAGTTTACAAACTTTTAAACTAATTTATAGCTGAATCGGCCACTGTTGACCTCCCAAAAATTAGCGAATTGCGCTGTCTGTCGTACCCTTAAAAATTTCGAAACGTTTACGGCTGTTTTCGGTCCAAGTTTTAAGTCGTCGACCAGCCCTATACAAAAGCAAAATGCTGCGTTCTAAAGCGAACTCGAAAAATGGCTCCATCTTGAACGGTCCCGCATCGATACAACGATCAGTTCCTAAGGGACATTGGCTAAAGGAGTTCGCTTTAAAATAAGCTAAATATTGTCATTCTAAAAGACTGTGCTTTCCAGAGTGGTGGTCGGTACTTCTATTACAGGGCCACAAGCCTGACCGCTACCAGTTTCCACCAAAGGGGGGGGGGGCATGATAAAAACTAAAAAATGCCAAAAAATACTCGACTAGATTATCTTAGCACATGAAATAGATAGGATCCTATGAGGTACTGAACTAGTTACGAAGCGGGGTATACATTTATTACATTCTAGTAAAGGATTAGAGAAGTAATTTAATTTTAGTTAGTAACGTTTTTGAACGCACAAGTTGCCGCCACCTGTTCCAGCTCAGCTGCTAAATATGCGAAATGTAAAGGCAGCCAGGCGTTCTAATCTTATTATCGTTGCAATATCCGGGCGCCAATAGTAATAGCTATCACTTGAGAGATCGCTGGTAGAAACTTCGCATTCTACAACCCTGAAGGCGCCGTTAAAACTACGTTATCGTTATTATTCTATTAATTATCTAATTATGATCATCAAAAAGATTGTCGATACATGTTAAAAACGATTACAATCTGCGCTTAGCCTTGCTACTTTCAATGGCTATACACGTCAGAAAAAAAAAAACGCAAATTTTATAATTTTTATGTTTAGGCTAAAATAAAAATAAGCACTATATCCCTCGGAAATCCTGTCGGTCATGTGCGGACTGTCGTGATAACATAATCCCAATTCTAGCCACTGAAATCTAGACTATAGTCAGGTATTGACTCAAAATGACCATGTTCAATGAACAATCAGCGAGCTAGCTTTACGGAACGCTAGGATTGAGGAGCTTAACATGAGTGGACACCCAATTCTGGTACAAGCCGATGCCATTTCTAGGGAGATCTGTCAAGACAGTCACGTCAGCTTCGTAACCGAGCGTAGAAGTAAACGGTATTGGTCCCTTATAAAAGCATTACGTTTCCGGTAGTATAACGGTAGAAGTAGTAGTGAGTGACACGAATTCAACAAACAGTGCCTGCTCAAAGCTTTATTCGCATGAGTAAAAATTATCCAAAATGTCTGCCGGAGAATCACTGTATTTTTGAGTCCATATGGCAGGATTGATCTTATTTCGTATGTAAAAGTCTGCGAACTATCTTACTTTAAGTTAGAGATTAAGGTTTGCTTTCAAAATGGGACAATTTTTCTTCTCTTGATAATTACTGATTTCAGGTACATTTATCCGTTTATTAAGCTAGCATCAAGCAGTAGCGAAAATACATTGTCAACATTTAGTCGATTTTAAGAAAAAGTGTTTCTTTCAATAGCGTTGTTCTCTAAAAAGCAACTCACTCGAATCACAGACTACGTGAGTAAAATTTGTTGAATTACAACCGAATGTTTCCGCGATGGTGCTGTCTGTGACGCGTTTAGCTTGCAAAATTAGGAACATGTAATATAGGGAGGTAATATAGGTTCGAAACCAAGCGTAGATACACTTCGCTTCGTGCTGGGAGGCAGCCGCCGGAAGCGATGCTTGGCTGCGTTGCCATACCTTAATTTACAAACATTTATTATTAGATATGGGCAAATATTCATTAATAGATAATTGTCCTTACAGTCGCTTCGACGCAGATCGACACACAATGTACTTTACGCAATGCAGCTTCCAACAAACCAAGCCAAGCTCATGTAGGGTGCGAGAAACCGGGAGAGACGACCTAGTTTGAATACAATCCAGCTAGCTCCCTCATGGCTGAATTCCATCAGTTACTCGCCAATGACCTTTTCGATGTGTAGTTACAGGTACGGGAAGCTACGAGCAGTCCTGGATTGGCTTTCGAGATCGTTGCCGCGTGACGGAGACCCAGAGGAAGGACTCTAGCCTCCTCCCCTATCTTCACCGGGTCAACAGCAGCAGTTGCAGGGGTAATACAGGCTAGGAGAGCGATAGTCTTACATAATAGACATAATGACGCATAATAATCGTGGATATGCCACACACGACTGATGATGACTCGCCTATTCGCATACACCCTCGATAATGGTACTTGTCGACATCTAGCGGCAAAGAGCAGGCCGACTGATCACGAATCAAGTCGAACACAGGAAAACTGCGTCCTGACTAGTCGATACCTCAACGCGCACAACAGCAGCTATGATAACCCAGATCCCTTATTCTCTCTCCCCCGTCCTATTTTCCCCTCAGAATCTGGCCTGCGGAAGGTGCGGTCGTAATCCCATAAATCGCAATCTTAGTTGCATCATACCTACGACTACTGCAGCTCTGCTGCCCTTGATTTTTAGCACCACCACTAGCAAAGCCAGTGCAACTAATTCGACCTCCCGCAAACACAGCTACCCCAATTGTGACGCTAATTGCTGGCCTAATTGCCCGAGGGATCTTATGCTACACTTACGCCAGACATGTATATATATACAAACACTGCATATTAACAATAGTCGAAGGTATACATCCTTCCTAAGTTTCGGCTATATCATACGAGATCAGCCGAAATTCTGTGCGCCTTTCACCTTTGATTCATTTAGGTCGAACTAAATCTAAACTCTACGAATCAGATAACCTAAACTCAAACTGCATATCCTTTTCGCTTTGATCGCGTCGATCCCTCACATCAGTAACTTCTACCCGTATCTGTATACAATGATGGTTCAAGCTATGTAGAGCTATTAATAAATATGCAACGAAATGTCACGGCAAGTTCTCCCACATTCTACGCTTGACACAAATTGGTCCTTGCCTCGATACATGCTACACAGCATGTCGCCGGAGGCGGCACTCTATTCACTGTATATATGTATTTACGCTCGTACGCTGTCATTTCCTGTCTACACTCTTGCTCGTCGTCGTTTGTACTCGCTTTTCTAGTGCATTTGCGGGTGCGCGCGGTTCTTGTTAACTACTTGCCTGGTGCAGACATAGAACGCCGGGTGACGACTGACTATTGCTTCTCCATGAGCAGTCGTAGCGCGCCAAGAGATGATGTGCTTTTGCCGCTGCTTTTCCCCAATGTGACGCAGAGTCTCTCTTGTTCTCCGTTATAGATAACCGCACTACACTGAGCTGAACTCAACTGTATACTATAGACAGGAAAGATATCCACTTGAAACGAGTAGTCGAAGTTATTTGATAATTACCCGTACTTGTTTTGATCCATACTCATACAGTATCCGTCGGGTTTTCGAGACACTGCGAAGCTTATTATATTAATTGATTTTTTGTATTGATATAGATTATTGAAGGACAGAGTGACGAAGTTTCTTCTTTTGCTGTTGGTGCTATTATTATTTCTATGGATGGTATCAATACTGGTTGCATACGGAGAGCTACGCATACACATACACAGCTGTACCCCACAATGGGCACTGTATACACTTTGCACTCACTCGACACAAATCAAACAAACGGCATTGGTTCACTCAGGGATATTCAGATCCTGGTGAACGCGTATCGATGGACACACGAAGCCTGGTCATTGCACAAATTGACTGAAACGCACAGAGGGATGTATTCACGGTTTCCGTATACTCTCGTCATGCAAAAGAATCCGCTGCAACCGTAAGTCGCTGCTGCAGGCTAACCGGTCGCGACTACGGTGGGTTTAAAGAAGACCGCCTAGACGAGAACCACGGCTACCTTATTATATCTCCACTACTCTGGGTTACGAACGATTTTTGAAAGAACTGATCCCTTTGTCTCCAACTCTCATTGTAGTATCGCGCGCTCAATAGAACAAGGATGCAATTTTGACAAAATGAAAAGCAAAAAGGGATTATTTTTAGTGCTTTTTCAGGACGAAAGAGGCCACTGCGGACACAGACAAACCATACAGGTAGGTGGCTGGCGGGCACTGTTAATCTGTACGGGCCGCTAGGTCCTTCGGAGTGACGGACTAGTGCGGAGACGAAGATCGGGTTGCCCCGGAGCAGCACTAGGTGGCGCCACCTATTTCGATCGTCGAAAGGGAACTGGGAAAGGGTGATCTTTCTGGTTTGGCGGAACTATTTTGAACTCAACACGATGTCATGCACCAAACCTAATAGAAGAAGAAGCATTACGACAAGTTACAATCAGGGGTACCGTACGATTAAACATAGTATATAGATTTAATGGAACATTTATTCGAAATAAAAAATTAACAGTATTTGAATGTCAATGAAGATCATACAGACATAATTTCCCACATTTCAGATGTGCTCCTACGGTGACGAAGGCGAAAGGAATCACCTAAAATACGAGCTGTATTATCCTATTGATATAGTAAGGACTGAAAGCAAAGCAAAAGCTTGAATTGATTTAACTAATGTTTACGTTTCAACATGAAATTTACTATTTTTAGGGCTGTAACTCGCGAAACCTATTATCTCCGCCTTGCTATAAGCATTTTAGGGTAGGTAACCGACATTTTACTGATTAATATATAGAATTATATCTGCGAAAGAAAACATTCATTTAGCGTTTAAGTCAACATATATATATATATATATATATATATATATATATATATACTCAATAAAGTATATTTGATCCTGGATGCACTGACCCAGCCATAAGTGTTGGAGCAGTCCGGTTTGTTCCGTCGATTACCATCATTGTAAACAGTATTATGGGTAGTTGTCGAAATGCGGTTTTTCCGAAACGAGTATATGAGGTTCACTAAATATATCTCAAGTCGTTAAACTCAAGGCGTATGTTTTTATTAGCAAAGTAGAACTATCGGATTAGTATAGGCGGTACGTATTTTCATTACCTGCAAGCATGTCGCAATAAAATAGTCCTTAATTTCTCACAATGACTCAAGCTTTCGTTGGAAACCTGTTCTCGTTAGTGACAATGTTAGTGTTTTATGTATGGCAATACGGAACGAGCCGGTGCATGTACGAGTGTTTTAACAGAGAGCGGAAAGGGTTAACCCGATGTAGTGCTACTACAGTGAATTGTCGACCATCTCGTATTAATGTCTGTTCTGGAAAAATTATTCTATGGAGATCGTTTGTGTCATTGATTCGTTTTTTTATTAATGCATTTTCCTGTATCGATCGCCGTCAGGAATGACGGTGGAACGAATGATGCTGGCATGTGGTAAGTGGATTCTGCAATACATGCACTACGTGTTGTAATTCTTACAATGTCTATTCTTCTATCGTACTTACATTGCACAAGTACTGCGATACGGTTGTTGAGGATGACTTTCAATTATTTAAGGTTTTTCGAATAGGCCAATCGATAGTTTCAGTTGCATTTCTCGCACTATTTCGCACTGTTCGAAAACTGTGTCCGTGTGTTCATTTAGTGCGGATAGTATTTAACGCACTTATGGAGTATCTTGAAAAAAAGCCGTAGTAGCCTATAGCAAGATTCGTTCACCCCAGATGGATGCCTTATTTATCAATCGATACATATTGCAAGCTACATAATCGGTGGTTACAGAGCCTCTGCTATGTTAGTCGATGTAGAAACATTTTCTTCGAACTGTCAACCGATCAGTTTGTGATCAATATAGGTAATATAGATAAAAAAATGTGGGAAGTTTTGTGTGTATGGCTGTGTGTTTTCATATTGTGAGCGGAGCAGCTTGCTGGCGGACACCACCCACTGTAGTTGTAGTATGGAAAGCATGCTAGTCTTTAGCACCATTAGAGCGCAGTCATAGCAAGATCTATAACATGACAAGGGTATGTCTCGGGCTATCCATCCAAAAGACGAGACATTATCTGCTGAACACAGAATGGCTTAGACAACGTATGCATATATGCATACAGGGTGAACCCATTCGATCGGATAATACATAGACGTGTTTCGTCACTTGGCGACCAAGGTCGCCTCCGTCGCCGAGCGTGTGATCTGAAAACGGTGCTCACTTGCCCACTTACATGGTATATCTTATTCTACTATGATGAGTAGGGTTATACAGACAGACATAGTCAGGACGACTCTGTTGTTTACGCGCTTTGTCACTGTATCAGTGTTGTGCGATAGTGGTCGTAGTAATGATAGAAAAGTGGCTACGATAATGATTATCACAGCAATCATCAGGGTGTAGACGTATGTTAGTGAAGCCAATCCAGTCTGGAGCTGACGCAGAGTCTCTGATCAGCGATAACCGATGATTAAATGAGCCGTGCTTACAATAAAACATCTAGTAGACCCAACCTCGCAGTGAATAGAAACCGAACCAAAAAAATAAAGGAATTTTGTGCGCGTATAAACGATGCGTGTAACGCTGTTTTCATGTCCGGGTATACTTCTTTTAAACATTTTCGGCAAGACTTGATGTAACTAGGTAGACTTAAAATTTGAATGATAGTGATTACGCTGCGGCAAAGACGATCGACAGAGATTTTGAGGGTATGTGAAAATAAACAAACAGACATGCGCAATAATGAAACAAATATAGCCTTTTTTAAACGTAATAGAAGACTCGAATAAAGCAAATTTACGGACAGTACTTTCAGTATGTATTGTGCGTCTTCGATTTAGATGCCAATTCGTAGACTACAAGCGCATATAATAGTTTTCAAATAATAAGTCATAGATTCGACTTCCAAATCGCCTCTCCGTCCCTTTTCTAGCCTCACAAACTTTGAAAGATTTTAGATCATTACCATTACATGTTTCGGAACTGGGTGATCAAAGACGTCTTTTGAACAATGAGATTTTCTGTAAAAAATTGAACCAGATTTAAAATATTCGAGCAACATTTAGTTGAGAGCGATTTACAATTATCCAATGTTATTTTCGTTCAGTTGGGGTTGTACCTCATGGAAGTGTGTCGTTTGTATAATCAAAGAGAATAATTACTGGGTTACGGGGAAGGTAAGTGGTCCGCTAGGCAAATCTACTAAAGCTGCTCATGGGTAAGATGGCAGGGAATGGCGAAAGATAAATATATAAAAAAATAAATTCAGTATGTTGAGAACCGAATCTGGACGAGCTGTCCCTGCGATCTACAGAAAGAAAGCTTTGAACTGTGTGTGACAAAATTATCCAATTGGTTTGAATCATTGTAGATTGCCATAAGATATTTTGCCGATTTATGCCAAACTTCCGATAAGTTCGAAAATACAAATATCGGGATCTAGATGTTTATTTCAATAGCAACTTGCTGTACTCGAAATCACAATTTTACAAAACTAAATTTGAATGTTTTATTGGATAACATTTTGACATGAGAGACTTATCGCAACTAACGGTTAATGTTGCTCAATGGAAGATGTTTGTCAACCAATTAGAGATTCCGTTTTTGGTAAACTGTGATGAGTTTGTTTTTGTGGCTAGTGTAATTTGCCTTTTTAGGCATCCTATAGAGATCTTGTCAATTTGATTGCTTCATTCTGTTTAATATTTAATCCTTGGAAGTCAACGGTTTTTTTTTTTATTTTGCTTCCTTGAATTAAAAATCCCCAAGCTACGTAGCATCGATTCAGTCATATCTCTCTGCAACTATAAGCCTATCAACGACAGCAATATTGGCTAAGATAAAAACTCCAGATGATAGTCGTTATTTTTGTTATGGTATTCATTTGCGGTAGCCGGGTACACAAAAAACCAATACGAACTGGTTGCTTTTTTGTCCAACGTCACATATATATCTAAGAGTATGAACGAACCTTACTTCTAGGCCGATCATATACAAGCTACGTTCTGATTGGCGAAACTGCTTTATTAAAACAATATAGAATTAATAAATAGGCCAGTAAGTAAATGGAATCGGTGATGCCTATGGCGTGAAAGTAGCAGGTCAAATACTCTAAATTTTCTTTGCCTGAATACAAAATCTCGGAATTCTGTGTTGCCTCGTGGTTATTGCAAGTTCATGTAGTTTCTTTAATAGATTGTTGTATTATTTAAATTATTAGGGATGGTAAGAAATATACGATAAATGAATCACTTTTTCACCATCATTTACAACAAGGACTTGTACCTGCTGATGTGTGAAACTGTGGTTTTTGTTGTAAGATTGGAATACTGACCTTTTACAAATGAAATCAGAGATACGTTTAGAACCAAGAAATACCTTAGTTGTCCGAATCTTTAGTTAAGATTTATTGCGTCATTGCGGTATGACCAGATCTGTAGTTAGAGGCCACGACAGGCACTGTTTGTGTTTTGTTAATACTAGATAAGCATGTTATATTTATAAGCCGGAAAATTCAATCATTTTGAAAAAATACTGCCTTTATTGTATTATTGCAGTTGGCCAGCGTAATTAACAAATTTATACAAAAACCGAATTCGAGAACCAGAAATGGGGATGTCGTCCGTGTTGCTTTTTGTGCATTTCATTATTGAAGCTTCCTTGCGTAATTAGAATACACCACGTATACAAAAGAAGGGAAAAGATCGCCGCAGGCAAAATAATGCGGCAACTCTTATGCTTGATAGTTGACATGGACCCCTCACCTCTAAACCGTTAGTGTCGATGCTCCCTGCACTCGCCAATGCTCTCAAAGCCTTGAAGCCTGCATTCATCAGTATAAGCAACAGTAAATTTCATGATTAATTATAGTTTACGGTGGCAGTACTGATGCAATTACGAAAATGAGCAATAACAACGATGCAAATGCGGAAGCCAACGACAACAACAACGAGGTCCAAGGGCGCGAGAACCTCGAAAATCAGCCGCCCCAACAACTGCAACATCACAATCACAATAACATTCAGCAGTTACCGCAGCCGGCTCATGGCCATCCTCTCGACCACGATCCATTGAATAATCAAAACAATCCACCAGAATGGGCCGCTTTTCCTGACCTACTTCGAGTTCAGGTTAGCTTATTATTCACAATATCGAGTCGTTTTGAAGCAATACGTCGATACATGTATTATGTACATTGCTAACGGCTGGTATTTGATTTTTTAATCCACCAGTACCCGATATTGATCGTGCCGAAGAATCGTATTTACGAGATACCCTACTAGACCAGATTTAAGCTCCTTTTTTAATGAAACGCAGAATTGCATTTGCAGGCTGTTGAGCAGTCGAGGTTATCCATCTGTTGTAGTTAACGAGCTGAATTGCAACCTTTACGTCGACGGCATGTGTCTCAGTGTAAATACAACATACTAAACATAATCGTATGTTGGATACAAAAACATTGCAGGAGCCGCAACAAAATGGAGGCGGCGGGGTTGTTGTGGCTGGTGATATAGTTGTAGGTGGCCCTGGACTTATGGGTAACCCGTTAGTCCTTCAGCGTGCTGGCGTTGCCAATCCACCCGACGTGAGCCTACCCGGAGCCGCCGGCCGAGATCCACCTCCTCCTGACTTTGACATTGATCGAATGGGAGCACTGCATAACCAACGGTTGCCTGATATGGCACTAGATGCAGACCAAGCCCAAGGCCAGGCAGCTGCAGCAGCGCAGGTAATTTTGCACATTCATTATAAACGTTTTATAATATATTTCATTCAACTATCAACCTATTTTTTTTACTGTAATATTTAAACCGGCTTGCATACAGTTGAAATATGTCCTATGTATGGTAGCGCACGTTCTCTCCTCTCTCTGGGTATATACCTATACAGAATGGCGCGTCTGAATTTAGAACTTTTTTGTGCTTTGAGATATTTCAACTAAATGTTTAGCTTGTGCTAGGAGTTCTACTTTTGAGTATTATGTCTATTCAATATCACCACCAGTTACCGTGATTACAGCTTTAAATTGAGACTTAAACTCTTAACTAGTGATTTACAGAATATCTTTTGTTAATCCGCAAATAAACGTGTAGTAGTAGCCGTGGATCAACTGATATTAGAAGGTGTAAACTGGTTCATGTCTTGTTCTAGTTCGCTGCATACAAAAAAAATGTAACCGAATCACGGGCGGATAGCAGACCAAAAATCCGCAAAATACAAAGGCTCACAACGTTTAAAAAAAAGTTCAAACAGCGCAAAAAGGCTCAAAGGCACTAATATTTAGAGCTTACCGAAAGGATTCCATTTGATACCCTTCCCTCTAAAATGGTTGTTCGTTTCTGTATTAAAAAAGTAAATATATAAAACATGGTTTCGAAGCCACTGTGATAAATTTTCTAGCCCTTCAACTCTAAACCCTATTGAGGATTATCCGGTTTACCTCAGAAAATTTTCATCGGATTCTTCAGATGTGCAAAAAACTAACAATAACGTAAGCCATGAGTTTTGGGCTAAAAAGAAATTATTCCTGGTGAGGTTTGTGCAGCGTGGAAAAGTTGGATAATAGCTGATCCTTGCTAAAATTATGAAAATGACGTATCGTTGTTCACCATGAACTTGTTGGTTTGTTCGAAAAAGATTTTTATCTACCACCAGAAGTAACGGATAAGCTCATGCCCGTAATGGCCAGGAGCCCGTCGTTTTTCCAATTTAAATGCATCACTCTGTGTAAAAAATATAGGTTAAGTTAAATATCTAAAATCGATTTCGTCTTCCTCCCGTGTGTCTGTAATATGTGAAACTTACACGACTGTCAAACAATAAGCATGGCAGTATGTGTGATTTGTGACTATGAAAAGCTGTAGTCTAAAGTAATGTTTGTTTCTTGTAAAATCTACTGTGCAAATAGAAGCTTTATTACGGCGACAATCCACATGTGTCACACAGAACACGGACAATATTCCTTGCTGGAAAAAAACGTTGAGGCAATTGATTAAGAAATTTGGAGAACTACCTCATTTGAAAATAAAGTGAAACCAAACAGACGACAAACAGAACAAACAACTCGCAAGATCGCTGCAGCGTGGATGCCGATCCGACGACCTCAGCACGAGTTAAGCTTAACAAGTCCGCTAACCAAAAAGCACTCATTTTGTATCATATTTATCCCTACAGGGTACACTAAACTTAAGAATTAATGATATAGGACTAACATGTGGTCAGCGGTGTTTATTCGTATTAAAGCGCAAAACCAACATGTGATTTCAGGGCTAGAAACTTTTAGCCCACGTTATACGAAATAATTACTTTGATGTCATCACCTTTTCCGAGAAAGCTCATTTCACGCCGGGCTGTGAGAGTAAATAAAATTGTCGTATATGAAAGATCCAAGGATTAGTTTCGAACAACCGCATCACTTGCAAAATATCATTATATGGTACGACCTGTGGAATGAAGACGTCATTGGGCTCTGTTCCTTTGAAAATGATGATGAAATGGCAGCAGCAGTCAATGGCCATCTTTATCGTTGGTGTTGCAAGCATTTTCGTAAACTGAAGTGAACGGATTGATTGCAAACAACCTTTGGCTTCAACAAGATAGTGCGACTTGTCACACCACGCGGAAACAAATAATCTGCTTGTGCCATGTGCCCAGGCCAGCTGATCTCGATATGCACCGGTGACATCTAGTGGCCGCCCGGTCCTGTAATTTGACTCTTTTCGATCTTTTCTTATTTGCTATATGAAAGACAGAATCTAACGCCGAAAACAATCCACGGCCTGAAACACTGTACACGTGAAATCACTAATAAAATTAACGTTGAACTGCGCAAAGCTGTGGTTTAAAATTACGTGAGACGGTTTGCATTATGCAAGCGGTCCTTGGAAGGATATTTAGCGAACATTGTTTTTCATATATGTAGCGGATTCAGCTTTCTGGGCTGGGCTGACATAAAATGGAAGCACGGGTAGAAACTTGTTCTTGCATTCCGGGAACGTTCAAATTGACTGGAATTTTTTAGCACACCCGATACAAAATATTATAGGTTTTCTGACAAGGTTTGTTAATAACGTAACATGTGTGCAAGCAGCACAGCTTACCCGATATGGCTCTTGACGCTTCGGGCGCTCACGCGGGGGCACACGCAAGAGCTTCCGGTAGCCACTGCGGGGGAGCGCGTCTTAGGCCACGGAGATCACCAGGTAGTCACGACCTTCGAATAGAACCTCGAGGTTCCCCTATGGGGATGAACACAAATCAGCAACATTTGCCAGGGTCGTTAGCCCGAATGGCGCAAGCAGTAGCGATAAGTGGAGGAGTTGAAACAGTGGATAACAATGGCGTGCTCATAGGGCCAATTGCAGCTGGAAATCAAACATATCCTGTTGGTATGTAATATGGACGTGATTGTACGGGACGTTTATGAAATACCTTTTTCAACGGAACCATCAGCAACGCAGATGTAGACTATACATTTTAGATTATAGAGTATGCGTTGACCATCTTAGTAATATTATTTTAATGTAGACATTAATAACATCAACTAATTAATAATTAACATTAATAACATGATAGTTTTTGCATCTGCAATTGTCGGTGGCGTTCGTGGAAAGCTGATATTATTGAATCTCAATTATTATACAGTGACGCATTTTGTTAATGTGTGGAACGATTACAGTTTTTTTTATTTTTGGTTGGAACACAGTTTATCACTTTTATATATTATAAAAAAGAAGACATATTATGTCTTCTTCATTGTAGTAATATTCCTTTCACAGCCACATGATTCTTACCTGGCATAGCATTATTAACTATTGTTATGGATGTGTGCATCTATTCACTAGACATATTGACGAACCGTCTAATGGATCTTGAAGCCCAAGTAGCGAATCTTCATCAACAGATGTTAGAACGGGACAGGCATAGGGTGGAACAAAGCGCGAGGGTTCTCGATGAACTTACTGCTCTTAGGAGATCCGTAGAAGCATCTAATTATGCCGGTAGAGAGCGTGACCACGCATCTCTGGAAAATCGTCTTATTAATATGGAATCACTTATACAGAGGCTAGCACAAGGGCCGCCCGTAGCTCTTGGGCCCCAACAGCAAGCTGTGCCTGAGGATGTTTTAGCAACATTAAGGTAATACCCCTAAAATCCCCACTAAAACTAGTTTTTAGAGAAGTCTGATGTAAAAATCGTACTGTTTGAAGATCAGTTTCGCCCAGTGATCTTAATCTACTTAGCCACAATAAGCAAATATGTATTTTATTGCAGGTCGGAGGAGCGGCGAAGACAGCGCCGCGAAACTGAGCGACTTGCGCGCACTTTAGCGGCTTCTCTACACGTCGCTGTAGAGCATTTTATCGATATGCTGAATCAAGAAGACGACGATAATGGCAGACGTCATGAAGATGACAGCCGCTAATTTTTTTATGAATAATATGTAGGTCATTTTATGAACACTACCAAAAATACTTGTTCTGTGCTCCCGCATGGGTATCTAGACAGCAACAATAACAACAACAACAACAAAAACAACAATAATAACCAACGTTTCTGTGCATTATTTTCTTGTTGGTGCTTTGCCCTCTAGCAAAGTCGATAAAAAGACATTCGACGCAGCGAAATAGTATATAGCCACACACTAAAACGTTCTATTCGTTGTAAGAAAGGGACTCTAGTCTTGCATTGTAGAATACAATACGATATTGCTGTACTATAGATGACATATCTGCAGGTATCTTCAATAGTGCCTGACCTGAGCTCGGCCTCAGTGATGTTTAGTTCTGTATCTACGCAGCTCTACAGGCATTTTCTATACGAAGCTATTAAAGCAATGAAAAACAATAGAAAGTATGTTAAGGCGTTTACTACTGATTAACATTAAATAGACCATCAATATACTTACACACATTTTATAAGTACGTCCCGATGGATGCGTCCAATCAGGGCAACCTAAGAGCACATAGTTTGTCAATACTGCTACACAAAGCCTATGCAGAAGGAAGTTGAGATAGACAAGAAGGCCATTCGATGTTCCGATCATGTAATAATTATTAGTTGAGAATTTGCAGATAATGGTTTATACAAGAGGTACAGTTAAGTATAGATTTATCTCTGTGTATGCGTGTGTGTGCGTGTCTGGGTATCATGTACAAAGCGGTGAGTAAAATCGAAAATAACAAAAGTGATCAACCGGTGTACGAAGTGTAGACGCGAGCACGTACTGGACGTAGCTAGTCTACCTAGGAATTATAGTTGTGTTGTGAAAATAATTTCTATTACATTTTTTCGTTTTGTATTAAGCATTACTTTAATATTTTTATAATTGAAATGATTGTAACTGCTTAAAGTTGGTTACTTGGTTAATGCGCCACCTATATTTTCCGCCTTGTAATATTTAATGGTATTGGATTATCATACGGCACCTTCTATGATATTTAGACGTGATTCTATCAGAAGATTTTACCTTCGCCACAGAAAGGAGATCAAGGCAGGGGGCTGTTGCTCATGATTTCAGTTCTACTTTTGCCCACATAAATGCGGCACGAATGTAAAAAATTGATGCATCGTCAACCGAAATGATGGTGCATTTGTTGTTCACTCAGATTTAAAATTGTGGACTGCATAATGGCATAGAAGTGCATTGTGCGGAAATAAGGAATCATCAAAGTGTTCTTAATAAGTGCACCTATTTGGCGGTTACACATGGTGTTCATTACCTGAAGTGTACTAAATTAGACAAAAATTTTAAATAATTGCTTACCTGTCTGTCCTTAATCAGTGTAAAAATATTATTATAAGCAAAAATTGAACTAAGGAACGACGTATTTCCTTCGTCATCCATGTTCAATGTCATTAAAACCAATCACTAAGAAATGATTAGAAAAAAAATACTTTTCCTGTATATAATTAAGAATAGAACATCGCATTCCAAGCCGAGATCGGTTTAATGAAATACGTGATAACGTGCAGTTCCAGAAGCACCTGAATTAACATAATAATCGTATTTTATATTAGGTAATTGCTGTTTGGTCGTGATATAAGTGTATATTTGAATCCTAATAATTCAGAAATTACGTTTCTTTGCCCTTCAGAGCTTATACATTGATATGGTTAGACTAAGGAAAGAAAGGCGCCTGTTAGAAATTGTGAACAGAGTAATTGTGCCAGACTTGGCCTGGAAATAGGAAATTGTTGCTTTTCTAAATTGCTCATAAGTTGACAGGAAAGCCTAATGTATAAAATAAAATAGATTGGAACTAATTAAATGTAGGAAAATAAATGAAAATTTGTTATGTATTTCTCTAACATAAGTTCACATGGAGTTGGGTTTTTGGCTGCGTTTTTAGTAGAAAGCTTAGGCTCAATATTTGGCATATTAAAACTGTGTCGGAGAAGCGGACAGAGCAATTCCGGATATGTGAGAACTTTGTACCGAACGAATTACTTCAGCAGAGTCACAGTACCGGAGCAATACTGAGAAGAAGCCTAAAAGGTAAAAAAGCGATGCAATTACAAAAAAAAATCGTGGTTGGTGAAGTCATATTCTGTTATGGATACTGTTACATGTTAAATATTGGTCTCTATATTTTTCCGATCGTATGGCTCTGTTGCGAGATTCGGTATGCATAAATTAGACTCAAGATATACCATACAATAACAGGTGTTTCAAGCTTTATCTTATGCACTACCAATGCTATGCTATTTTTCTTCATTGTAGTAATAGCTAAATGCTCTAATATTGGACTGTAACTAAAATACTAAGTACATGCTACCAGTTACAGAAAATATTTTTCACTTAGTAAGCGGACTACTTAAACAGTTCTCGACGGTTCTAACCGTTGAAAATAGCTTGTTCCTAATTGAACATGGATTGTATTTCTGGCGCTTGGTATTTTAGAGAGTTATTCTGCCGGCTGAAAGGATTTTTATGTGCTATTTATAATATCTTACGTACATGTTATCCTCACTAAGAAGTTTTACAACTTTAACTTGTTGTTGTTAAAGAAAAAGCGATAGAACACGCGTACCTGGGAAGCCGCCTCATGCAAATACCTTATTATTTCGATCTATATCATTTATTAACGAAAGTCCAATTGCGCTTTGTTTCTAGTGAGGCAGTTTGAAATGAGATTTCGTTCAGTTATAAATAAAGCGGAAATTAATTTTGTCATCTCGGTGGATTCTACAGATCCCTTTATGGAAGCATCAGGCCGGTGCTTTTTTTCCAACTGTAAATTTTGTGTTATTTCTGATTGATTCAATGTTAATATCTAAACAACTAATTTCTAGAGGGTTTACCTTACTAACAGTATATTATCCATCTTATTATTAGGCAAAGAATATAATGTATATCGATTTTTTTGCAATTGAAACTCTATTTAAAGATGTGATCTGCTCTCTATCAGCTGTAATTTGTCGGACCTTACAATACAATAGTTAAGATTGATCTACTAATTTTTTTTGCGAATTATGTGTTAATGCTAGGCATTCAATTATATAGCTTTCACAGAACAAGTTAGTTCTAGGTTTTATTCTACTTGGTAGTACTGTCAGTATCATAGATTTTTCGAAGTTCTAATCTTTTCCTCCGATCTGAACTACTCCATGCTTCAGGTGAACGTACCTCGTATATTGTCCCTTCCCGCTATAAATTTGAATTGGACCAACGAAGTTTCCCTCGCCTTCCTGCTCTCCCTTTCTTGCCAATCAGTTTTACAGGCACGGCGTGCCGGTGCCAATCTTGCCAAACCGACATCTACAGTACCACTACTGGTAGCATCTGCGGCAGCAGAAGCATTTTGACGGGACTGACAACAACGATTCTTAATAGCTCAACACTCCAATGCTGCTGTTGGTACCAATTACTAGTGGTAGGCACCTGCTTGTAAATAACAATCCATCCATTCACCTACTGTCCCATAGCTGTTCGGATGTTGTAGTCACATCGTAGCTGTTCAGTCTGCGGTGGTTTCGATTTCGACAGCGTCGTCGACAGTTCGGTCCGATTCGTTGAAATTTCTAGTGAGATAATTTGAGATTATTATAGGCGATGTTGGGCGAATTCCTGTATGGAATCGCGACTCCGAGGCTGCTAGTCGATTCGAGGTAGTTGAATAAATTTTCGTCAACTCATAAATAACACCTCTCAGCAATTAATTCGTCGGCACGAGCCGCACAATCGGTTCGGCCGCCTGCCAAACGAACGGCGATAGAGACTACTGCTGCTGGTAGACTACTGTGCACATTTAAAGCTGAAAATCGTGTGCCAACCACAGGCTATCGGGCTAGCAATCTTGATCCGGCCCTGAACGCCCTTTGTCCTGCGATCAAGCAGAAGCAATAAGCAACAGTAACTACAGTTAGCACAATAGCGTCCATCTGCCAAGCTAACGCAGCAGTGGAGCAGTTGCCGGGCAGCCTTGTCGTGTACACATACTTGTATATATTATATCAATATATATATTAATATGTTTGTGTATGTATGATTCGTTTGTGTCGTCGCGGCGGTCACTTCCCCAAATCTCAGATGGTGTACATAGATTCCTTGAGTTATTGTGTTTGTGTATGAGCCATACTGGCATAGTGTATACATCTGATTTGATTCGTAAAGTAGCTTTGCATAGTCTTGGTGTTTTCGGCGCTCATTCGTCGGTTCGTGCTGTTATCCCCCACCCCCTTCGTGTAAACTGTTACTGTTTGGCGCCTGAATTAGTGATCTAACGGACTCATAACAATTTCCACTTGGTTGCCACGATGACGACAACCGTATCTTATCTATGTGAAGAGCAATTACCCTGAGGGATAACATCCCTACACAATGGATCCACACCTATTGGCTGCCGGGATTATGCCGACGTTTCCGGCAGGAGTACCAGCCTTCGTCGGGTTCAATCCCGCCGCGGCACCAGCGTACCCACAAGTGCCGGTAAGTGCAGAACGAGTACAGTCTTGTGTTTTCTTACATGCTTGTAACTTCTAGTATATTGAAAAGTAGCCAGCTTGCTTTCAAAGCCGAACCTCAAATGCGCGCGATGTGACTCTATTTGCTTAGTATGAAACCAAATGGATTAACAAAACAGTACGTTGACAATATGGTTACTAAATAAGCTCCACTAAATAATTATTGCTTGATAGCTGGAACTTCCTCTACTTTTTTTTAAACCCTTCTATTTGTTACCTGTATGCATCTGTATGATTACGTGAAAAACGGAACGTTACGGGAGTCGGCGTTCTGTTATGATTGCTATGATATTGATGATGTCGCGAAAAAATGTTTTTTTCCTTAGGTTAGTATGGCATTTGTATTGGAAAACTAGTTTTTCCCATTTGGACTTTCTAAATATTTTACCAACCTTCGATTAAAAAAAGGGGAACCCGAACAGCCTTTCATACCTATTGGTATTGGTTTTTCTGACCCAGTGACATACTAAACTTAATTTTTACTCAATTCCAGTTTATGGTATGTATTTCTTCTGTTTGTATGATCAACACGTTAAGAGTAGCACGACACGCGTTATTAGTTTGATACAAGCTGCCCGCTCAAAGCAGAAGATATACATACGTATTACAGAACAGTTATTAGAATAAAACAATCATTACATAACGGGCTAGCTGACCCTTCTGGTTATGTTAAAGTGTGCTGCTGCGTTATTTTGACTATCGAGCTAAACATGTAACTGTTTACGCAGGTAAATGAACACAGTTTAGCACATAGTTCGTGAAAATACATTGAACTGTGGTTTGTGCAATTTTACTTCGAAACCTATATCGTAACGAGGCCGTGGTAAGTCGGTCGAATTGTTGTATCCCTTAATACGGATAATAAGAGGAAACTTCTGAGCTGCATGCACTTACCCATTAGCAAGGCACAACTGTCAATCGGAACTATCTCTGTCTTTTTGTAACACAGGCCGATTTCGTTTCATTCGTCGCTATTTGAGTAGGTCAGACAATGTTAAAATATGGGGACGTCTATAAAACAATCCGTTCGTTTTCCAATACTACATCCTTCATGATGTACAGAGTTGAATGTATTTATTTACCTCAACAGCCAGAACCTAACAACTGTTTCAGTCCGCTCCGGTCCAAATACCTCTTCCTGGTGATGCACCTACTAACGTTGTGGCGGCGCCAACATCAGTAGCAGCTGCTGTAGCCGCAGGATCTCCCGCGAATCCAACGGAGGCTCCATTACCTCCAGCAACACCTTCGGTCGGCGCGAGTGATACCACTCAAACTGGCAATACAGCTCAGTGTGACTGGACAGAACATACTTCGCCAGATGGCCGAATATACTATTATAATTCAGGTGGGTCGAATATCACATAAATTTGATAAAATACGTAGAAAAGTTCGATGGCAATAGATTAACAGTATGGGTGTACACTGAGGGCAAGGTTGTTACAGGTTTAGGCTAGCATCTGTACGCAGGAGGTTAGCATCTAGATGTTGAGCCTCGGGTGTGGCTGGTGCACCACGCATCATAAAAATGAACAACGTGTCGAACGAGCAAAATTATTTATAAACGGTTGTGTACAGGCTTTTAGTTAACATTGCACTTGACAGAAGAATCCTTTTAGTCGAAAAATAGAGCATGCATTAAGGATTACTGTACTATCAATGAACTGTGCCGTATTTGTTTGTGTATTGGTTTTACAGTAACGAGAAAGTCATCGTGGGACAAACCGGATGAGTTGAAATCATCAACCGAGCTTCTTCTCTCGCGATGTCCTTGGAAAGAGTACAAATCGGAGTCTGGCCGACTGTATTATTACAATGCCGAAACTAAAGAGAGCAAATGGTCCATTCCTAAAGAACTCGAGGACATCCGACGTCTTCTCGAAATGGAAGGAAAGGTCAAAACGGCTGTCAGACTCGAGCTCGTAAGTTTTAACGATGAAAGTATTAATTCGTGTTTGTTCTAAGAGTAACGATTGTTAGACTGTAACATGTGATCGGAATTAAAACAAACACAGTTTATTGTTACCACTATTGTAGTGCTTAGTTGCTAGTGTATGCGGTTGTCACGTTGTAGTGGGAAACTACGGTAAAATGGTAAATAGGTTTGAATTCGGACTTCGACCTCCAGTAAAAACCAAATGAAGGACGGATCGTTGATTATGGAGAATTTTTTTTTGCTTCCTCGAGCTTACTTGTGTTGAGAAGACACGTAAGACGGGCAGTTGGGAGTTAGCCATCGAAGAGGCTTAATATTGTGAGATCTATATACGTGATTTTTTCAGCCTAATTCTGCGTCGGGAACGCCAACAATTAATTCCCCGGTCGCATCAGTTGAACAGCCGCCCATTGATGAGGCATCGCGCACGTCTTTTGCACCGGACGATGACTCACAATCGAACCAAGATGGCGCAGTCGTAAAGGTAATTCCTTTTCCCTTCATAAGGTTGGCGATACAAAATGTGTAACATTTTCACTTGAACGACGATAATTATTATTGCACATTATAATCTTGTGCAATATCGTAGTTTATTTTTAAATTTATGAACAATTTTATATTTTTAGATTTATCGTGGCTAAATACATATTAGTACTAGAGAATCGTGAAACATGTTATTTGTCGTGATTAGGATTGACCATGTTATTATGTGTATTTCCGTCTTCAGTTGGAATACAAGGATAAGAGAGAAATGGCGGATGCGTTTCGAGTTCTCCTCCGAGAACGTAATGTGGCAAGTAATGCATCGTGGGAAAATGCCGTTAAAGCTATTTCACAAGATCCCCGCTATGCAGCTCTAAAAAAATTGCCGGATCGCAAACAGATTTTTAATTTATATAAAACACAACGCGCTAAGGAAGAGAAAGAAGAGCAACGAATGAAAATTCGAAAGGCCAAGGAGGATCTTGAACAATTTTTGCTAAACTCGCCACAGCTCAATATGAATGTCAGGTAAAGTGGACTGAAGTAAAATAACCTAACGGATTGTATGCCAAATCTTGGTTTTAATTTTTAACGGAGAATTAGTGACACACATTCGAATAAATAACACGAACGTATAATTTATTCGATGCAAAAGAGTTTATGCGTACGTTGCATGACTTACCAGTAAAAGAAGTTTTTCCCATATGTTATAGTTCGGAATCGCTTTAATATTAAACGTTTACCACCTTTTCAATTGCTTTAAATAGGTACAAAAAAGCGTATGAGCTCTTCGGACATCTACCTGTTTGGACGGCAGTTGGCGATCGGGAACGTAAAGAACTATACGATGATATCATGACTATTGTAACCAAACGTGACAAAGAAGCCCAGCGAGCGTTACGTAAGAAGAACATGGCTACTCTTGCGGACATTCTCGACGCAATGGCAGAAGTTACCCACAGGACAACGTGGCAAGAAGCACAACAACTGCTATTAGATAATCCTACTTTTGCGGAAGACGCCGAGCTGCTAGGCATGGACAAAGAGGATGCTTTGACAATTTTCGAGGATCATATCCGAGAGCTTGAAAAAGAGCATGAAGCTGAGCGAGAGCGTGAGAAAAAGGTAATTAAAATTTCTATCGTTAATGCTGTCATAAACTTCTATGGTTTTTTTAAGTAATATTTTTTTGTTGGTGATTTTTAATTACCTCAAGGCTTAAAAACCTCAATTCTTCCAAAAAAGCGCTCGTCTAATATTGGGACTGAATCTGCTTTATTCTACCGTCTCCTTGATGTATCACTTTTTAGCATTTAGCATGAAGACGATCAGTTTTGATAACAATAGGGAAAATACATAATTAAAAACAACGCTTTGCGTTATAATGAATGGTAATTCCAATTTGGCTAAAATTCTCAAGGGCTTAGTAGTCGCTACCTGGTGATCAAGGTTTTTTCGAAAGCAGATCAAGTTTGTCCGCATTGAGTGACTATTCCTTACGTTAGCTTAAGTTACCCAATTCGTCCAAGAATTGCAAAAGTATTGTAGTGTGCAGTCGGGTTTATTTAGACAAGAATATTGATGATTCCATTTTTCTCATTTCTTTTTATAGGTGCTAAAAAGGAGTCAACGGAAGGCCCGTGAGGGCTTTCAGGCCCTCTTGGCTGATTTGCATGACAAAGGCAAACTCACATCAATGTCATTGTGGAGCGAACTGTATCCGGTCATTCGTAGCGATCCTAGATTCAACAATATGCTTGGCCAACCTGGTTCAACGCCGCTCGACCTTTTTAAATTTTTCGTTGCTGAGCTCAAAGATCGGCTCATTGATGAGAAGAAGATAATTAAGGTACGAAAAGGACATCTTATTTGCATATCTTTACAATGGTCAACCCCGATTGCCTCTGGACAAGCAAATACTTTGTTCGACCAAACTGAATAATATATTGCCACGACATAATTATGAGGAATATTATTTTGAGTTGTCGGATATGTATTGACCGTTTTGCTAGTTAGACGGCTTTAAGGTCACATATCTCAGATAATATTGGTGTTATTAAGATAGGCAGTAGCAGATGTGCTGAAGTTGTTGACATCTGTTTATTCAGACAAAGCGTCTTGAAGATAAGTGAAATGTTAGCACAAATTCACTATATTTAAAGTTCTACTGTGACAAAGACATAGGTGTTGCACAATCCTACGAAAAAATGTGTGCTGTTTATGGTCAAGGAGCGTTATAAGAAGAAACGGATGAAAGGATAGTTCTGTCGCTTTCGTTTTAAAAATTTCGTTACGGTAGATGTTCCCCTTAGTGTTCGACCAATTATGGCAAAAGTTGATGAAATTGCCAAAATTGAGCTGACTGACGGTGAGTAACCATGGTATCTACCAAAGAACTAAACATCCACCATTTTAAACTAATTGAAGAAAGCTGGCTACAAGAAAAACTTCGATGATTAGATGTCATACGAATTGATCTAAAATAATTTATTCATACCTAGATCGTATTTAGATCTGCGAAATTCTACAGAAATCGGGGCGTTTTTAAAGCGGTGCATCACGGGCGATAAAATATGGATCACATACCACATGCTACATTATCACGGAAACAACAAATATAACAAATGATTTACAATTGGCGGCAAAGCTTACATGTATGCCAAAGAAGGGGATGTTGAGTGTTTGATGGAATTGGAAAATTCCGTACAATACGAGCTGCTGTCGCCTGGCAAAACAATTGATTCCGATTGTCAACAACTAACAAAATTACAACATCCCTTTGGTAAAATCAACTGGAGCTAGTAAACAGAAAAGACGTTTTCCACCATGGCAATCAATGCCAGAGCACATAGATTTTTAGCAACTCGACAAAAATTGAAAGTACTTTTTTAATGCATTTGCCGTATAGTCCGAATCTTACACCGTCAGGTTATCGTTGTTTCGGCTTCTGCAGAACGCCTTTAATTATATTAATGCAATATAATGGATGGATGCGAAAATTATTTTCGCCCCGGAACCACAGAAATTCTACAGTAGTGTCTACAATATAATCAGAAAAATAAATCAAGGTCGTTAGTCATAATACAGAATATTTAGCTTGGTAAGATTCTAAAATATAATTAAACATTTTTAAGACAAAATCAAGGCGCATAACTTGATGTGAATCAATAATGTTATAGGAGATATTGCGGGAGAAAAATTTCACCGTAGAAGTTGATACACAGTTTGAGCAGTTTGTCACGGTGATATCAGAAGATAAACGCAGCGCGACTTTGGACGCTGGCAATGTAAAGCTGACGTATACAGCCCTCATGGAAAAGGCAGCTGCCAGGGAAAAGGAAAGACTGAGAGAGGAACAGCGAAAGGTGAAACGAGCGGAAGCAGCTTTCAGGTGCGTGGCCTACGATATATATATTTGGTAGTATTTCAAAATTTACAATTATGAATGCAATGAAAAAATGTACAAAAGGTTAAGGCGATATTAGTTTTAGAATTAGACCATTTAATTCAAACAAATTTTAAACCGAATAGAAAAGAATTGGGGCGAATTTATTAGGGTCTCAAAAATCTGAAATTTTTTCATCTATAGGTCTATATTACGAAATCTGAGTCCACCCGTAGAATACGATTCTTCGTACGATAAGATCCGGCCTTTGATTGAATCCCATCCCGATTTCAACGGTCTCTTGCTTGAATCCGAACGTGTGCGGGTATTTAAAGAATATACAACTGCCTTAGAGGAGGCGTGCAGTCATCATCACGGCCGCAGCAAGAAAAGTAAAAAGAACACAAAGCACAAACGCAAGTACGTATCTTGAATGGGTTGCTCCTGCTTTTTTGTTTAACTTTTGTGTTTAACATCATAGTACGTAGGCTAACAAGATGTGACACGCACGAACGCTTAAAGAGCTCCAGCGATTTAGCTGTTTACTCGAGAAGTTGGGTATAACTAACATCCGTGTGTTTTACAAACTTTTTCGCCGTCGGCCAACTTCAGTCGTTCATCGTCGCGGTCTTCAGTAACGTCGATTAGCAGTAGTTCCGGTGGTTCATCACGAAAGAAGAAAAAGAAAAAGAAAAGCCGATACCAATCCCGAAGTCCCTCCCCATCGCTCAAGAAAAGGTGCGCTACAACAGCAGCCACTGGCTCGACAAAAAAATCTCGTTCGGGCCTCAAGAAGAAAGTCAGCAACAACAGCAACAATCATTCCAAAGAAAGCAATCATAAATCCAACTCACAACAGCGCGATAGAGACCTCAGTGAATCGAGTTAACTGGCTTGAACTGAGGGAAGGTGCTGTCGATGCGCCAGTATCTCATTTTTATATATACACATATGCATATTATATATACACATATGCATAAACATATGCATATAATATATACACATATGCATAAATATCTATCGAAATTACCGAATAGGGGTTTCTTACTATGTAATATACAAAAATGAATTTCTACCGTGTCTCTCTCATCCCCTTTCCCTGACATTTCCTTCTTTTGTCGTTACTTATTAATAAAAAACATTACGTGCATTAAAATATTTCTCCGGTTCAATTTAATGGGCACGTGTGGAAAAATAGGCACACTGTTTTGCTTGTTCGCACGGTTTTGAGTGAGCTGCAAATATTTAATATGCACAGGCATGATTCGTGCAGCGTCCAGTCGCTTCCGTATATGTTTAAAGATCACCACACAGTTCAAAAATTGTGCGGTCACCTCGATACTGCCTTTAAAGGGCTCTGTATTTTTGTTTTTTGCTGCCATAGATAGAATTTCCAGCAGTACGCGTTATTCGCCTATGTGTTAGTAAGTTGGTGTTAAATGTAAACTCGTAATTCATAGTTGGGAGCAAAGAGCAGTGTCCTGAACTTGGGAACTTTAAGAGATCTAGTACTAAAAAAGATACGGACCTAGGCAGTGAAAGTCTGTGTTTATACACACCCTTTAGTCGTATATTTAGAAAACTAATCGGCTGGCCGTATAGATCCACATCAGGATTCTGCGGAGAAAGCAGAACGACGTTACTGTGGTAAAGATATTCAGCTAGTTACTCTTCATGCAATTTCTGACGTTGTTACTAAGCCTTAAATATTTATGCACGCATAGAGTAGCGACTTTTTCATCAGTAACTTAGCAGTAATAGATATTCATCGTGCATAAGCTACGCGTTACACTTCTTCATAAAAACAAAAACTACGCGTTACACTTAAAGTAAATAGTTCAATATTGAAGTATTTCCATTAAATAATGCTGCCTAAAATGGAACTAATGCTCCGTTACTAAAAGTTAGGTTTGCTTAAAAAGGTACTAACGTTTCTTCGTTTTCGTTGCGTTATTTTTGATCCTCGCCAAATTGCTCGACATGTATAGTCGATACTTGGAAGCAAGCCCTTCACCATCGAAGCGATTTTCCCCCGTAGAGGACGAAAGTGAAAGCGGCTATAAAGCTTCGGAGAAATATAGGCATTACCGTGAGGCCACTCCGGAGGAAGGTGAAGTTACACACAGGTAATAGGATTACCCTGCACGCAGATATTTAATCGGGTGACCAGATTTATGAAAAAACATAGTTATTTTGTAATTACTATCTGTAATTTATTTACAAATAGTAATTACAAAAAAAACTAATCGCTAGTATGTGCGATGAACCATTGTGTTCCTTTACGATGTAAACTATTTACGTTTACGTCTACTTTTGTCCTTTTTTCAGAGAAGCAGACGAGGCCATGCTGTCAGAGCGAGAATTGGAAGACCGACGTAGAGAACTCCTTGCTCAGCTGCATTCGGGAGCCACCGAAGACGTATCTGATTAATGATTGCCTAAAAATTTCAACAATAAGCCCTCATAGGCATGAAACATCGGTTTCAGTATTTATGTCTGCACGCTTAACAATGGCCAACCCTTACTGGAAACGTTTTGCGCCATTGCAGCCGTTCAACGGACAACATTGCTCGTGATAACTTCGTGTAGAAGTTCGTGTAGAACACAGGAAACTCGCCTATAAGTTAATCATCAGAGGTAAGACTTCTGGGAACAGGTCTACTGGTTGTTTTAACAGAAGCTAACCTGTTCCAAGGAGCCTTAGCAGGAGAAAGACCGCCGTGACAAAACGGGAAAGCTGATACCAACTTGCATAGAAAAACACCTTTAACTTTGAGCAAGCGTAAGCTCCAAGAAACAGTTCGCTTTGAAAACGAACTTTACTAACAAAACATAAGAACAAGAAATTTGACGAAATTAAGGGGAGGCCCTCAGCCATGCCGAAGTATACGATACTACGACCATTGAACCCTTGGGTCTAACTCCTAAACAGTTTACTCCGTTTACAACTACGCCGAGCATGAACTGGCCCTCAGCTGGCGCCATTTTCTAGAAAATGGAAACAACAACAACAACAACAAGGCTGGAAAAAGATGCACTTCTTCCATTCTAGTTGTTAGAAGAAATACTTTCAAATTATATCGCTCTAATTAAGATTGCATAAGCACACTGAATTACAGGCACACAAACTTGTGAAAACATTAACGCACGCACACCTGAAATAACAGACAGAAATAGTGTTGAAATGCATAAAGTTTATGCAAGCGTATCAAGATAAGGACGATGGCAAGCTTGATCAGCTATGTGTATACAGATACGACAAAAATTAGGGACGACAGAGTATATATAGAGGAAAAAAGACTTTGCGGCGGAGACCTCAGAGATACCGTAATTGAAGAGAAACTGTATGTGGGTACGTGGAGGCTGATGAAGGGTATAAGAGAGAACGAATCAGTTTAAGTGAGTGATAGATAATGATATCAGCAAAAAAAACCAGAAGTCCGAGCAAACGAACGACCAGGCAAGTGAGAGAATTAAAGCCATTGACGACGTGGAAGTAAATTATAACAACATCGTCAACGAAACGTTATTTGTAATAAGTACTACACGATATTATAAAGCTGCACTGCATGAAGAGAGGTGGTTAATAGGTAAACGAAAGGGAGAATCATATTTATAACAATTTGTGTCGCGGTTTTCAGGCCAGCGTCATAAAATAACGATTTGTGTCGCGGTTTTCAGACCAGCGTCATAAATTTATTACTGTTAGGATTGGTGAAAGCTAGCTAGCTGACATAGTGGACCGTGTAGAAACAAAGAACTGATTAGAAGTGATTAACGCAATTGTGCACTAGCAGGAAAATCTGGACGTAATTGTGTAGAAAAAATGTTTGCAAACCTGAATGTGTTGACAGCTGAGATACCTTAACTCCCAAGAAACGTGAACTGTAATAATAACACACAAGTAGCGAGTCAGGGAAATGCCAAATTAACAACTGAAAAAACTAAGTGAATTAATGGCACAGCTGTGTATGTGGGGACCGCTTTAAGATAAAATGCGTTACCCGGCGGATGCCCCAAAAGTTAGGAGAAACATTGTATAGTATAAATCTGTTTGTAGAGCTTAATTCCTTGATTTATTACAATTAGTTATTATTACACTTAATAAATTAAGATAAAAACTACCTGCCTTTGCCGCTGTTCACAATGCCTGTGTGTAAGAAATGTCGACGAAACGGGATGAGCTTACAGAGCCACATGATCTTAGGTTTTTGGTAGTCTGTTTATCACGTTTGATGCATGAAGAGAATACATCTCGGCCCGCAAAACATATTGGTGTGTGCACGTACAGTACGGGTGCAAATGTTTGAGACACATTGCCAGGGTCATACCAGAAGAAAGGGAAAGTTTAGGTAATTTCAGATTTGCTTCGTTAAAGACAGCAACGCCACAGTTAGACTCGTGAGACTGATCTTACGCCATCATTACTATTAGTACTAAATAATTCTATTCGTGATTACTTCCTCTACCCAATCACTCCGTGGTTTTGGTAACTTTTCTCATAAGAATAGAAAATAAAAGATAATGAATAAGATAATGAATAAAAGTTTTGTATGTATATAGTAATAAACTCGCGTGTTCTTTTAATTGCGCTTGACATAAAGTTCTTGGTGCTCAGAACATATTTGCTTTATTTGAGCAATCCAATTTATACAAAATCAACGGTGTTATTACGGCGGCGATGGTTAATTTTTACGTCGCTTGTGCTCAAGGATAACCGGAAAAACCCAAATCATTTTTTAGTATTAATTAACAATATCATAATACTGATTCGTATCGTTTAAGTAACAGATTAATATGTATGTTAGCCTCATTTGCTTGTCTAATGGCTACTGCACAAGGAAAAACTTGAAAAGTTGGAAATAATTTCTGGTGGGGTCATTCTGTGGTTTCAAATGTATATAGGAAAAAATCAAATAAGGTACGAAAGTTGTTGTTACGATAATTTTCTTGATGGTATCTTTTATAAAATGTAAAATATTGCAAATATCAAGCTTGGCAAACCTGTGTGATGTGAGTCATTCACTGATTTTTCTCATGGTGATGCGCAAAATGAAAGTGAAGGCAAACAAATTATAGTGACTTCGTTTTAGTGCTTTAAACTAAAAGTTGGCTTGCTAGTCGTTTTGTGAAGTTTGAATTCATTGGTATTGCTCCATTTATGATCCCTACATGTCCTTTAATAAGTTGAGCTGAAGTCCGGATAAGCTTAATGTTTAAGTTTCCATGCGACTTAAATCTTAGTATTCTTCTGTTTTCGGAAAAAAGGACTCGTATGTCAGGTGGTTGGAGTAACACAAAATGGCTCACTACTGGGGTTATAATTTTTACTTTACAATTGCTGAACTAGGCCCATTTATCTCAGTGAACTTTCGGAATATTCTAAGTTGTTAAATTAACACTACTACACATTAACATTGTTTCAATCCAATTTACTAGCACTACTAATCCATATCTTAAGGGCAAAAAATTATTATCTAATATGTATCCTAAGCAAAAAATCCTATCTTAAAAATCTAAAACTACTTCAGGCGATCCTTTGACCGTATCGGATAGAATAGCACTAATGTAATTCCAAATGTGGAGCCTTTTTGAATTTTGAAGTTGAGTTCACGAATTATCAGATCTCCGAGACAGTTTCAAGACAGCGCTCAAGTGCTGCGTAAATATGCTGTTCATGAAGATGAAAGTACCAAACCATGACTTATGAGTATATTCAGATTATTTAATTCACCAAATCTAATAAGAAATCCGTATACGGCATATAAAGGAATGAAAAGTTCAGAATTTCACAAAAGGTCTAAGATCCGCGTTTACCTATGAATATTTACATTGTTATACACAAAAAAGTGTTTGCTTACTTAATCTGACCAATAGGAGTGCCATTAGTGTCACAAGCTCGAAACGCCTTTAGTTATCTATCAAATACTTTTGGGTTGCTCACTGCCGTCAACTGACGTAGGATCTCCACCGTTATTTCGATCTTCTTCTGTAACTTCTGTAATTATGATTTCACGCCTTTTAGTTGAATTGGCATCATCCCGACACTCGAAATGCAAAGCCTGTGGCTCTGATATATCTGGCCTTTCTTGGTCATCAGGCTCGAATTGTCGATCGTCATAACGCATGAACCCGTTAACATCAGCCATCATCGAAACGACAAGACCACCTTGGCCACATTTCAAAAGATCCTTTAGCGTTATTCGACCGGCCGCGACTGGTTTCACGATATCGTGAATTTCGTCAAGGATATCTTCCACCTGCGGTTCATAATCGTAGCGTAGGAGAAAAGCGAATTAAATTATCCGTCTAGGACAGGCGCTCAGGGCCTACAGTCCGAGACCCTATCTTCTCGCAGCAAGTATTTCTGTTTGTATTGAGCATGACATTTAGTTGTGCTTGACAAAGAATATCATACACTTAACATACGTGATGATTTATTTTTCTGTCTTTGTCTTTGAATAAAATGATTAGGGTTAGTTTTACAAATATATGTTGTGACTTCACTAACCTTGAGCATCGGATCGTTTACCACTTCAAGTATCGCTCGAAGGAAGAATCGCATGGTAAAGTTGTCCAAATAACCTTTGTGATCGATGTCAAATATTTTAAAGAAGAAATGTATGGAAGCAGGCTGGCTACGATTCTCCAAGGCTAACACCAAATCCAGGTACGTTTTATAGTCCATCTCACCCTGTTGAAATAAGATTCACCATGAATTAACAAAGATACGGTAAACGTTGAATTGCTAAAAACAACAACCAAATTAGCTATTTGCAATTATCTATTTTAAGTTGCTGTTCGCGCTAACCTGGTACGTAATGCATTCTTGAAACACTCGATCAATGAAGGTTTTTGTGAATGTACCTTCCCCGTAATCATACATTTCTTGACGGGAAAGCATTCCATTTTTGTCGGTGTCCAGGTCCATAAAACGACTATACACCTGAAATAGTTCGAAAAAAAAAAGTTTAAATTTGCTTAGATAATCTAAAACGAGTCTCAAATGGCCATAGTATTGGGTTGGTTAACCCACCCGCCACTTAAATATAATATGATAAATCTACTACTGACTCGCCTGCAGATCTCAAAGATTACTTCATAAAGTACTCTTCAACTGGTAGAACCAAAGGCAGACAACGTGCTTTGCTATATCTGAAAGTGATTGAACGAGCTTTCTAAGTGCAGCTTTTGACTCCGGTGTACTAATAACATAAGTTAATGACTTCCTATATTCAGTTTTGCATGTTACTGAGACATATCGATAGATATAGATAAGAGTGTCAGGTTGTTTACCTTTCTGGTTGATACCGCGCTGAACCAGTTGGCCTCAAGGGCAGCTCTGGGAAGATCTTCACGAAGTTCAAGTAGATCGTCTAAGAAAGATGAGAGTATGATTTCGTCAATTCTCACCCGATCTGTTCGATACGGATCGAGAAAGAAGATGAACTTACGGACCGCGGTGCAGCAGTAGAAGGAGTGAAATGACGGTTCAAGTCCCTAAGAAGATGCAAAAGCAAGTGTCAACGGCATTTAGATGTCATTTCAGTTATTGGATGGTGCGAGATGCTATCAGAGGTTTGACTCTCATCAAAGCTTGTAGTTTTTCTGAACCTTTCTGCGAAAACGCAAATGTCTTACTGACCTTTAACTGGTTCAGCGTTGGGATTAGTCCATTAATATAGTTCTCGAGGTCAGCTTCGCTTAGATAACCCTGTCCGTTAGCGTCATAGAGCGCTAACCCAACCCGGGTCTGCAATAACCATCGTCTGTCAAAATAAGAAATATCACAGAAACGTTTCGCTTGAATAAACGAACATCTTGTGCAATGTTATGCAAACCTAAGGCAACTCAGAAAGGCCTGTCTAAATAATTCAAGACAAAACCAACTTATGTGCACACCTTCGATTGACATAGTTGTAGAAATTTCTTATAGACATGTATCCAAGAGGATGATCTTGAAGTAATTTGAAGAATACGGTAGCACTAAAAAACTGCTGGTACATCGGCCCCAAAAGCTGACGTACCTGTGAAAAACAAAAGCACAGAAACAAAGAGCAGTTGGTTAACAACATCTTGTCAGACCTACGAGATGCCAGGTAGTGCCTATTCCGTTGCGCATGTGTTCTAGGTAATTGCATATAAAATGCGATTTCTTATTCTCTCTTGGCCTGTAATATCTACATCAAGCGCTGATTGATATTAATGTTTAATACATATATAGTATAACTTCTACGAACTTTTTTAAATCCTCTGTAGTCAATAGCAAGGTTTTCGTCCACCGCGTGATCTTCAAGTAAGCGCCACATTTCCTCAACGCTTTCTGCATCCGGAATTTCCTCGTTTTTGCGCTCAAGTAGCAATGTGCGCGCCTATGAGAACCAAAATCGTTAAAACGATTTGAATAACCGGCAATATGTATTGCACGTTGTACTGCATGAAAAGCAAACCGCGAGCGGTCCATTTGTGCGCTTTAAGCTACACTATTGATAATTGCTTTATATGAACCTCGAGATTTTTTCGATTAACTTCGTAGCTTATTTGATGTTGGGCTAACCTAATCGGTAGTGATTAGATATAATAAAATAATAAACATTTCCTGAACTATGCATTTTGTAGTCTAGAGAATCCAGAAAACCGAATTTGATGGGATATAGCCTTTGCTTCAATATTCTAAACAATGCAAGCTTGTACATAGAATATCGTACTTCGTCTCGGAGTAGGCCACCAATGTTGTCATCCTGTGCAGGAACTCGCCAGTGAAATGTCGGTATCTGTAATAGACAACAAATGGTAAGTATTTTTGATGGTACATCAAGATATTGTTCCGAGCTATCCCTGCATCATTATGATGAGCTGCACCTGATGTGCTTATCACTCTTGAAGCGCAGTTCTTAGATAGCTTCAAAAACTTTTTCTTCCAAAAAAAAGTTCCTTAACTTTTTACTGTTACCCTTTACATAATTCATTGATGATTCAGTTACGACTGATGTATGAAAAATGATAACACAATGTAAGACTTACAGTGATAATTTTAAAATAACTGTAGTCATGTCACTATGTCATGCAACAAACACATTTGTTTTCCTTTCGAATGGGGAAACAACCTGTCTTCATTGACCGCACTAATCTTCTATAATGAGCGGTGGTTACTCTAAAAGGACATAACATCTATTGGGAATATCATAATTTATTAAAATGCTGTGTATTCTTTCACTAGCGCTTAAGTCAACTTTTTTAGAAAATCAGGTCAGTCATAAGGTTACCTGTACTTTCTTTTTGTCCTAAGCTATAAAACTGATTATTGATTATTTTGTCGTAGACACAGTAAGTAACTGCCATATGAATACTCACAGCAGCAGACGTTCATTGATCGCAGACTTAAATCAAAAGGGCTATCCATCCTTTGCTTATAAAGTGTTCCAGTACAACCTATGTAATAGCTTTAGCGCCCACCCTTATATGCTGTCATGTCATTAAATTTGGAAAACCTGAACTTAAGTATCACCCATACAAGAATATTGTCGCATATGTAACATACTACATGCGTGCCCTACATCGTTAAGGCGAATATACAGGGTCCTAAAATAATCCCGGCAAAAGGTGGTCAATCATTGGTACAACAGTGCCTGCAGTCCTAGAGGTTTACTCTGTCAACGTCTAACATAAGGATATGACATTCATATGACAGATCTGACAATAATATTAGGTATTCCATAACTTTTTTGCGACAAACACATTCGCATTTGAAATTTCATATCTGACATACGTTTGGATATTTGAGTGCAGTAGCTGTAAGAGATGCCGGTGATACGTTCGATGGCAATTGTGCTTGCGGCGTCAACATGTCGCATATAAGCTCCACTACCGAGTGATAATCCACAAAAATTGTATCAGATTGGTAGCGTAGGTTAGCCTGCACAGCTACGATGAATTTGAATAACGACACATTTGGCATCCCAAAAAACAGTCAATAGTTGGTACGCAGGTATCGCTTCACTGTGCTGCCAATAAGCTTCGATCCGCTTGGAGCTGACGTTGGCTGGTGTTTATGAATTCTAATTTGGCGCGCAAGTATTGTACAGACGGTAACCCAGCACGGAAAGTTAGCCCTTATTCTGTGTATCAAATGTTTTTTTTGCCAACCATTTCACAAGATCACGTTGTTGGTACAATTCATGCCAATCCCGCTTCATTTATGAGTTCTGTTCTTGTGATGGTGGTCTACATTCCATTCAGTCCACACTTTCTGCGCTCTAAACCGCAGAATGAAGAGCGCGGTTAATAAACTTACGAGCGCTTAATTGACTAATGGCGTGTTGACGAAAAGAATCGAAAAAAAACGATATTTGGTGTCACGTACGTTTTGGTAGAGGGGAGCAATCGGTTTGGTGTGGCGCTGCAAAATCGTTTAAACATGTTTAAACGTTCTTTCGTTGAAATGAGAAATTGGTAATTAGAAGAACATAGAGAAGGAGTAGAAGATGAAACACTGAACGGTAGAATCGCTCTGGGTTTCGATTCCGAACGTAAACAAAAACAACGTATAGTTATTGCTATAAGTTAAATAAAAGTTGTAACAGATGGCAAACTTCTTACGACAGGTGTCAAAAAGACAACGCTTCCATAAAACTATTCTTCCATTAACATTTATTCGTACAAGAAACTAACCTTTCAGTAGCACTTAGATGGCGGCTTCCCATTTAATGGTAGTCCTTTTTTGGCGCTAATTTTTTGCTAATAGGAATTTTTCACCATTTTTTTTGAGTAAACATATATATAAAAGTAGGTATTGTAATCACTAAGATTGGAAATATTTGTAACATTTACCATTATCCTTAGTTCGGACTGTGAATGCAATTAGGTCTATTCGTTTCAAGTTTATAACTTTATGCTAGCCATAGTCGTTTCTTCCTTACAGAAAAATTGGGGAAAATAGGACTTAACTTTGTCCCCTTTGCCCCAAATGCCAAAAAAAAATTGAGTAAGACGCGTTCGGAAGCTCTTGTGTACTTTCGTTGAACGACCCGAAAATGATTTCAACGGAGACAGCATAACACGACTTGTTGACGATGTTGTTGTTCGATAGCAAAGTTCACCCGCATAAGAAAAATAACGTCAATTTCCTATACATCAGTATATTTGGCCACAAATTTCATACTTGTGTTTTATTTGCATGGAGTAGTTCATGCATAGCTAGGTGCTAAAGAGGTTAATATTAGTTCTGCCCATTTCTCGATTGGCTCAGTTTTAGGAATCGTTGGTTGGGATGCGTTCGCAAAACGATCGTCCGAACTTATACGTTGCAAAACCGGGATGCGCGAGAAGAAGAGGTCAATGCCATTACTTGCAGTTTGTCTGTTCGGTTCCACCATGAGAACAAGCTTAGCAAAATATGGTAACTTTCTTATATCAATCCATGGTAATAGTAAGATTCTACGTAAAATTGCCTCTTACAGTAGAGGGTAACAGGCGAGAAGCTGATCAACCATGTTCAAAGCGAGACTAGTGACATCAGTCTCGCTACGAAGCCTTCTTTTGATGCGATACTACCAATTGGCGTCGCAGGCATCGTAAGGCCTTCCAAAGAATGGCTTTCAAATACCCCGATGCAGGGATCCATACCTAATACAGCACTTAATGCTCGTTCCTTGGGGCCTGAAGGCAGTACAGAACTTAAAAATCCAGCGCAAGTGTTTGTGTCCGGTAACTCCGCAGTGCCAGCGGCACAAAATCAGTTGCTTTCGCGGATATTGTTCGTATGAGGATAATATTACCGCAAGATAGTTTCTCCGATGATGAATCAGAAAAGCTCAGCGTCGGTAACGATTTACTGAAACGAGTTCGCATCAGGCTAATCATACTAATGAGTCGTTCACCGATGATGTCAGCGATGAGAAGGATAATGTTTTCGAGAAACAAGCCGCAGAAAGCGCGCGTCGATTTTCAAGGAGAATGTCGTCGACGATGCTAACTATGGGGATAGTAGGGATGATGCTTCTGACAATGGTGACAGCAATGGAAAATTCACGCACAACAGCAACAACAACAACGAGAAAAGCTTGCACGTGTGTTTCGCAAGAGTGTTCAAGATAAGGACGGAGCTCCCTTAAACGGCTGCACTTTAACGCAAGATAGCCTATGGCCTAGCAAAAATGCAAAGCTAAGCGAAGCTACATTGAGAACCGGGACGATGTTGAAGAGGGCAGATAATGTTGATGAGGGTGACGGTAGTAAAGATATTGATTATATACGAGTACTATAAGATGTGAAAAGCTATTCTTTACCAAAGAATCAGGCAGCTCTAAAGGCAAGAAACCCGAGATCGAGAGAGAAAATCCGTGTAGTTGAGGATAATTAACAATTGAAAAATTTGTTTGCATGCAAGAGATGCACAAGTCAATACGATAAAAAGAGAAGTCTAGGAAGCCATCGAAGAAAAGGACACTAAAAGTATGTTTATAATGTTATGTTAAAAGTTGGCACTTTGGAAGCCTCGAAAAAGATAAGTGCATCTAAATTCGAGGCTCAGTTATTTTTGAACTGCAACCATATGCTAACTTTGTGCTTGCTATTTATAGAATCTCACGATTTTGATATTTGAAGTTATGGTTTTCGATATGCCTTTTCGGACACGGAACTGCCTTGATGGTTCCGATCACAACTTTTTAATTCTGTAATTCATAGGCATTTACAAATTATGTTCTTGATAGCAAAGAACAAAATGTTTTAAAAGTAATTTGAATCAATGGCGACGGATATAGTGATAGCGGCGACGCTGGGCTGCGTTGACTTATGGGACAGAGCACGTTCCTATTTTCTACCCAGGACATGTGTTTGTGAAAATACTTGAATGCTTCATGCGCTTAGTATGAAGATAGGTGAGTGTTTCTATGTCTATGACTTTTAACTATTTGATTGAATGCAGCACTTTGCGGTGTAGGAACATGGCTCACTTCAATGAGCTTGTTATTTCGGCCAGAATTTTGTGTGCGTGTTTCTAGATAAATTCTTTGTACAATGCGTTTAGCCTACATCTGCCAATCGGAAACACTCATCTTTGATTTATTCTCTCTAAATAATGTGATAATGAGTGCGTGAAACAAGTTTTTGGTGCGTATAGACTTTCCGATCTGCATGCATTATCAAAGCCATTAAATATATGACATGTATTTATTGTACTTTATGCGGATTAATGTTACTTTGCTTGACGGAAGTCGTGCCGTGAGTTGCGGGAAATCCTAAGTAACGACTGACTCACTTCGAATGAGATTTATAAATTATTAATTACCGAAACATTTGTGTGAACGTCTGAAGTCGAAGGCGTTCGAGTTCGGCTCTTAGTCCAGATTAGCATTGCTGAATTTGTAATTCTGTGTTCTATCAAACGTAGAAGTTTGTGTAAACGATAGCCTGGATGCGTTTGTAAATGCTTATTTTAGATATATGGTAAATAATTATCAGATGTGTGTAGTTGATTAATCAATTCAGACGCATTCAAAAAATGGCAATAGAAATCGTCAACAAGGAATAAACTAATTACACGAGTCGATTTTATTCAGTTGCCCCGCAGCTACCCTGTCTAAATTAATCAGTGTTGAACAGTATTTCGCGAAATTATATCCTCGCTGTTTTCTCATTTGTGGATTCTGCTTACCCAGTGTGTTCTGTATAATTCACCTGCTGAATGTTGGTTTAGCGCACAATGCCAGATAATGGCGGCCTATTTGGCTAATTGATCAATTTAGGATTACTAGTTATGACACTATTCGGCGCTCATCTGGTGTTCCTTGTGAGGATCACTGCCAACATAAGCTTAGACCTTAGATAAGATGAGATCTTCATTTAATTACCATCTCTCGGGGCGATGAAGACATTTTTGGACGCGTCGTAGTCTGAGGAAAAACACATGATTCTGTTGGTCGCGTATCGTTGAAATAACGGTTAGAAGCTTCGTCGTTTTTACCGAAAAGTTCTTTGCATAGCTAGCGTCCAAGTTAATACAAATTGCTTCGCATTATGTTTTTTAGTCGTGGCAAGTTAATGGGATGTCATCGCTATGAAATCGTTTCTTTAATGTCATCGACGTTCTGATAAGGATGTTTCTCTATCTTTTGCCGAAAACTGTTATGTCGTATATTCATCGTTAGGATCGGGAGACAGCGCTATGGGAGTTTTATTAATCTATTTATTGCAATTATAATTTATAACTAGAATATTAAAAGCCCATCTCAATTGCCTCACCTAACTGGTAAGAGTTCTGAATTTTTAGGCAATACAGAATTGTCCTTGTAGTGGTGTAGCGTTAAAGTGTTTGCCTCTCAAACTAAGGCATACGTAGTAGTATAGGTTCAGAATCGAGCTAATACAGAGAAGAATCGTTGTTGAAATGGGGCTTTCATTCCAAAACCGACTTTCGAATCTAATCTATGAACAGAAAAACAGGAATGTGTAGTACTACAATTGATCGTAAGTAAACTGAACAATCAGTTTATAAATACTGTGATTTCTGGGAAAAGTATTTCCCCCAAAAAATCCCCATCCATGTTCTGCAAATTTTTATAGACTAGCGAAAGATTTAGATGGTCAGGCATTGTCGCGGTGGAAGGTCAGGTCAAGCCTTTCCTCAAGTTCGGGTTAATCTTTTTCAATGGTTTGTTCTAATTTTATTAGTTGTTGACAGTATAGGTTCTCGTCAATCATTTCGCTAGGCAGCAGCAGTTCATGATGCATGATTCCTTTCCGATGCCACCAAACATAGCATCACTCACTATCTTTGGTGTTTATCTAGACTTTGCTAACGACTGTTGTTTAATTTGTTCTGCTCGGTATTGTTGTACATACTCCACTATTCGTTACCCGTGATCAACCGCTTTGAAGATAGCTCGATATGGCCGCGTTTCCATAGAGTTTCGCAAACAGAAATACGTTCAAGTAAATTATTTTACGTCATTTCCTATGGCAGTGAAATATTGAGTTTTTTTTTTGTAGCCAGCTTTCTTCCAATAGCTTCCAATAACTGTTTG